CAAGAAAAGGGGGGGGGGGGGGGGGGGCATCAACTGCTGCTCCGCTCGAGCGAGTGTGAGCTCCGCGGCTCTTCCTGCAGCTGCTGCAGCAGCGCCGACGGCGTCTTGAAGTGCAAAGGCCTCTCCTCCTCCGCCTCCCTCGCCCGGCCATCCCCCCGCGCCGCGCTGGGCCGCCGCCGCGCCGCCGCCGCAACGTCCCCGCGCCACGCCGGTGCAACAACTACAGCCGCACGCGCAGCGGGGAGAGGGAACCACCCCCGATGCAGCCGAGGTGCAGCCGAGGTGCAGCCGAGGTGCAGCCGAGGTGCAGCCGAGGTGCGGCCGAGGTGCGGCCGAGGTGCGGCCGAGGTGCGGCCGAGGCGCGGCCGAGGTGGGGACGTCGCACACCGTCCCCGCGCCACGCCGGCGCTGCGGCGCTGCGGCGCACCTCTGCAGCGGACAGCGCCTTGCGCGGAGGCGCTGTGGCGGGGCGGGCAGAGGCGGAGGCGACGGAGGCGGCGGCGGCGGCGGAGGAGGAGAAGGAGGAGGCCATGGAGAGGCCCTCACGTGCCGCGGACGTCTCGTGCCCGCAGCACCCTCCGCCGTACGATGCATCACGGTGGCCCCCGTAGCCGCGCTCGCAGCCCATGTCACTGTACCCTCCGCCGCACCCTCCGCCGCACCCTCCGCCGTACCCTCCGTCTTCGAGGCGGCCCTCATCCGGCGAACTGTGGTGGTGCGGAGGGAGGGCGTCTTCGTCGGCGAGGAGGATGCCGCACAGCTCGGAGAAGATCTCGGCGAGGTTGCACAGCGGCGCGAGCTCTCCCGCGGCGAGCTGCGTCGGCGAGAGATGGGAGAGGTCCATGCCGAGGACGTCGTCGCCGATGGCCCGCAGCAGCACCTCGTAGTTCGCGGCGTGCTCCTGCTCGCCCACCGGCGCGGCCTGCACGCCCGGAAGGGTCCGCGCAAACAGCTTCTTGAAGAGAAGGAGGAAGAGAGACGAGTTGGCGTCGCGGAGCGAGAAGATGGTATCGTCGAGACCGGCCGCGTTGAGCACCGCGTTGATGCGGTCGAGCGCGATCTGGGTCGTCGACATCCGTTCGTGCTGCTCTGGTGACGGCGGCGTCGGCCTCAGGAGGGACGTTGAACTCGCCTTCGTTTGTGTGCTTGAGCAGCACACAAACAGAGAAACCGCGGTGACTGACCCCCTAAACAAGACAAGGTACCGCTCGCCGGTACCGCAGATTTTAGCGCCGGTACCGGCATTTGCCCGGTACCGCCCAAGCGAGGTACCGGTCGAGAGAGAGATGTCAGCGGCGGCCCAGGATGACAGAATTGGCCTTCGCCAGACTGAGGACTATTGTGCGCCTCGGCGAGGCGGTTCCGGACATCCCGATTCCGAGCGCGGTGGACCTCATCTTGCCGGTCAACTGCCGGCGGTCGACAACTGCCGTTCGAGCAGCGTC